ACTGTTTACAACTTAAACAGTTTTTTTGTTTTTTTTAAAACACTTAAGTCACTTATCTTTGCTTGGAGCTTATAATCATGTGCTATAATTTATAGTTTAGTCCAAAGTAACTACAGTAGGAGTTGACCTAACATTTTGCTGACTTAGTGTTGACTCTGTTAATGTGTCTTCCAGGTTGCCCAGGAGATTACAATCCACCTGAGATTTTTGACTTTCCAGGAAAGTCTGGTTTCCAACTTTATGGGATGGTTTACAAGCCTCACAATTTGCTGCCTGGAAGGAAACACCCAACTGTTCTCTTTGTGTATGGAGGCCCACAGGTACATAATTAAATCCTGATATTCCAAACACTATGTACTGAATATTACTAAAACCTTTATTACTATTTAAAGGAAAAAAAAATGTGTGTGTTTTCAGGTGCAGCTGGTGAACAACTCCTTCAAGGGGATGAAATACCTCCGTCTGAACACGCTAGCCTCTCTGGGCTACGCTGTGGTCGTCATTGATGGGAGAGGTTCCTGTCAGAGGGGCCTTGAATTTGAAGGAGCACTGAAAAACAAAATGGTAATGTGAGGGTCAGATAATTCAAGAAATGAATTGTCAGTAAACAGACATGAAAGTTAAATAACACAATTTACCTTTGTGTCTCCAGGGTCAGGTGGAGATCGAGGACCAGGTGGAGGGGTTGCAGTACGTGGCAGAGAAGTTTAACTTTGTGGACCTGAGCCGTGTCGCTATCCATGGCTGGTCTTACGGCGGTTTCCTCTCCCTCATGGGCCTCATCCAACGACCCAATGTCTTCAAGGTTAGGAGCCTCCTTTGATCGTTAAACGTTTCTATCAGTTCTGCTCTGGTGTCTCCTTTACGCAGAAAGAACAGTTACAACAGATGGTATTTAGGTGTAATGTACTTTAAATAAACTGAGAATGACTTTAGTATGAATTGTAATATCTGAGGTGCAGTTGCCACTTACATCCACATGGTGTCTGTGTTGGTCAATGTAACAGTATTATATACAACAGCATTACTTCAGCAAGGCTATCTGTGGATACATCCCCAATACAATAGATGTATGAATAAAATTTGCTAAAATCTTTTTCAAACTCATAATACATATTTTAATTTAACATTCACCTACAATATATACACTAAATCTAAATTGCTACCTTCCCCCTGCACTATAAAATGACACTCTTCTATACATTAACTCATAACTACATTCTGTTTGTCACCAGCTGGCTATCGCAGGCGCCCCAGTGACTGTGTGGATGGCCTACGACACTGGCTACACAGAGCGCTACATGGACGTGCCTGAGAACAACCAGCAGGGCTATGAGGAAGGATCTGTAGCCTTGCATGTGGACAAGCTGCCCAGCGAGTCAGTACACCTTTAATGAGTTTGTGTGCCTATTAGTGTGTGTTCTTAACGACAGCATGTTTCCCTTAGCTGCATAGATTTCTGTACATGTTTGATCATGACTTCGCTCCTGTTTCTTCTGCAGTTGTGCTTCATATTCTTGGAAAGTCAGTCTGATGTGTGCACTACAGTTAATTCTGTTTTACACGTAGTGAAGCTGGTCTGTCAACAAATAGTTGCATCTCAGGTTCTCCTCTTTGACCTAAAAGTGACTCATGTGCTTTGAACCTCTCGAATGTGAAAAACAACAGGTACAGATGTCCTGCAGCGGTTGATAAATTGTACCAGGGATTAAATGTTTGAGTTGACAGGCTAAATCAAGCCTCGGTTTTTAAGGATCAAAGAGACCCTGAGGGCCTGACAAACAGCATGTTAGAGCAATGCTCCTGGACGCTAAATTCAAACTTGAGTGATGCAGCTGCAATATTTCAGATCTTTATACGTTTCTTTGGATTTGTGACAATTTTCCTTTCTTTTCAATCACGATTGAATGTGGAGTCTTACTGCATATCTTCAGCCCATCATATTGTGCATCTTTTTGTAACAGCGTAATCCTTTGTCATTACAGGCCTAATCGTTTGCTGATTCTTCACGGATTTTTAGACGAGAATGTGCACTTTTTCCACACCAATTTCCTGGTGTCACAGATAATCCGTGCTGGGAAGCCCTACCAGCTTCAGGTGAGCACCACAAACCTTATTCCCCTCACTAATACTCACTAATAGAACTCCTTCTTGTAGGTTGATGCAATTAACATACAGTAACTCTTCCACATGAACGTCTGCATTTCAGAAGCACTCCAGTAAAAGTTTTTGATGTATTGGCGTAGACCATTCTACTTTTTAAAGATAGAATATATACATACATTTTCATTTAAATGTCTCAAAACAACTAGACCAATGATATATGGTGTTTTTATTATCAGTATTGTATAACTCGTAATGGATCATCATTATATATTACCATTTGCTGTGTGATTTGGATAAAACCTGAATACATTAACTCATCCGTGAACATGATTTACACCTGAGTCATTCATCTACAATGGTGGTGAAGACAAGTCCCACAATTCCACGCGACTTCAAAAGAGACCTTTAGCATCCAAAGACACATAGTGTACGTTAATGCTTAACTACAATAATGAATCATTTTTTAGGATTATGCATTGAGAGTAACTGTTGTGGTGTGGTCTTTGCACTTGCACTTGTTTTTGAAGACATTTTTCAAAGCAGATTTTTACAGGATACACTCACACATAATTGTTCATCATGTTTCCATTTTCCAGGTCTACCCCAATGAGCGACACAGTATTCGCTGCCCTGAGTCTGGAGAGCACTACGAGATAATGCTGCTGCACTTTCTACAACAATACCTCTGAAATGAGACAACAGGGCAGAAGTGGAGTTCGGCGTCCCCTCTGCCCTCCTTTAATCCCTCTTGCCCACCTCCCCTCCTTACTCTCCCCTGACCTCTCCAACCCATCCCCGTCTCCCAACTGTTCACCCCATCATCCAGAGACTATCAGACACTGCAGCCACACACCCCTCTTTGTCTCCCATGAAGTAGTCATCTCACTTTTCCACCATACATCCCACTTTTACTCTCTCTGTCTCTCGTTCTGTTACTCACCTGCTCGGCCTGTCCCCTCCTATCCCCCCTCCTCTCCCGCCCGTGTACAGTCTGGGGTATAGTTTACGAGCACAGAGATTTGGTGTCTCACCCTGAAAGCTGAACAAAGACAAGGACGTATGGAGAAATATGTGTCAGGCTGTGTCACATTGACTCATTGCTCACTCACGTCCTCCGCAGAAAATACGTTTTTTTTTTTTGCCAAATGTTATGGTGTTGTTCTTCCCCTTGACCCACCTGTTCACTCGAGTTAGTGGTAGAAAAGAGGGTCACAGTTCACAGATATAAAATGGAATCTATAAACATATTTTCAGACATGAGCTCACACACTATATGTAAAATGCAGTTTATTTCCTACATAAACCAAGACACTCAAACACACTCACACATACAGTACATATATACGTACATACTGTACCTTGCAGTTTGTGTAATGATGAAGAAAGGAAGAAAACCGAGAGGCTTCCTCTGTCCACTTGTTTTAAGTGTGTGTAGTTTAAAATAAAATATTTTTATGGATTTTTATTCTTTTTTTTTTTATGAGTGCTGCTCATTGAACTTTTTTGCGCAGATTTCTCCCCTCACATTTCATTGCTCAAGATGTCCGCTTGCCTTCTTATCACATAATTTATATTTGCCAAAGTACCTCTTGACTCTTGATCATGCTGGTATTTCCTTTTTTTACTGCAATAAAGACAACAGGAGGGTGAGCACTGGAGTCTTACAACAGCTTTGTACCACCGGAATACAATTTGTACATGATAATGAATAAATGTATGAATCAATCACATGCTCTCTTTTACTGCAGTCCTCCTATTATCTGAGCCAAGAAGATCATGCTTCCAACCCTGTTAGTTAGTTGGTTGGTTTGTTTGCAGGACTACAGAGAAAGAAAACTTCTGAATGGATTTCCACGAAACTTGGTGGAAGGATCGGATATAGTATAAGAAAGAACCCCTGACATTTTAGTGGGGATCTAGGAATATTTTTGACACTTCACTTTTACTGTATGGTAACAAATGGGGCATGAGACCTGCAACTAACACCAGTTTGAGAAATGTAATGTGCCCTTCTCTATAAAGCTTGTTTGAATTTAAGGGGACTATTGGGCTTTGGTGACAGTAAAAATTCTCCTAATTTCCATTGTAGTGTGTTATGTGTGTGTGTTTGTTTGTCTGTTAATGAGCAGAAATTTGAAAAAAAAAACATCTGGAAAGATTGCATTGAAACTTGGTGGAAGGATGCGTTATGGATCAGAAAATAACACTTTAAGATTTTGGTGCTTATCTGGATCAGCTAGCAGATCCAGGAGTTACTTTTTCAATGAAACATTACAAGACAAAGGGGTTTGCAACATTTTCAACGACTTCTCAGATAATCATTTATTGATCTTGATATTTATAAGTGTGTGTAATTTCGTGCAGATCAAAATAAAATGCCAGATGGAGAGAATTTCCAAGGAATAGTTCACCCAAAAATGAAAATTAACAAATGCCACTATGCCGATGGAGGGGGGCTGAAGTGTTTGAGTCCACAAAACACCTTTGGAGTTTCAGGGGTAAACAGCATTGCAGCAGAATCCAATATAAATGTAAATGGCGACTCCTTCAAATAAAAAAAAACATAAAATGCCTCCATACTGATCTTGTCTCGTGAGGATTATAGCTGCAGTTATGGCAACAGTAGGAGGAGGAGATCAGAGGACATTAAGGCTAAAAACATGGAGTTAATGGTAAATGATGCGGTTTTGACTCAAATTTGCAGACACTGTGATGACATCACAGGAGCAGTATGGAGGCATTTTGTTTTTTTCCTATTCTTTTACACTTGAAGAAGTGGTCACTATTTACTTGAATTGTATTGGATTTGGCTGCAACACTTTTACCCCTGAAACTCCAAAAGGGTTTTGTGGACTTAAACACTTCATCCACCGCCCCATCAGCATAGTGGTGAGTGGATAATGAGTTCATCTGAATTTTTGGGTGAACCATCCCTTGAAGTGGTTTACTAAGGGATTGCTGGGCCTTGCTGGAGGTAGTTCAACATGTCCCAGGTTTTACTGCATATACTGAGGTTGCAGCACGTGCTGTTCTGTTGAATGTCTTGCATGAGACAGCCAGGCTGTCCTGCTGGAAAACACTCATCTCAAGTGTTTTCATGCATTAATATTCCACTTCATCTTCAGTAGTGTCCCCCTACTCCATGTGCTGTTCACTCCGAGCTGACCAAACTGCTGCACTGGTGAGAGCTTGTCCAACACTTCACATCTTTCACGAGTGAAGCAGCAGATGGTCCTTCTGTCCTCCCCCTGTGTGGACGGTTCCCATGGTAACCTGTGGAGTGGGGGGCTCTTCACAGGTGAGTGATGCTCCGCCATGATCTGCTTGTTGCTGTGAGCAGCAGTGCTACACGTGATGGATATGATTATTATTATTATCAAGACCTGGCTCGACGCAGGAAAACGATCATTGGCTGGGAGGACTAATACTACACGTGGTAAGTATGAAGCTAGTTAGCTTAGCTTGACCTGTTTACACCCACCAAAGCTAAGCTAAGCTAACCAGCCCTCAGGCCAAAGGGAACACACTCTGCCTACCAGCACTTCTAAATCTCTCGTAAGCTTATGTGTCAAAACAAACTGTGAAAATAAAAGTTTGTGGAGTTTCTAGAGGTTAATTTCTGGATTATTTCATATTTAGCCACCATACAGATATTAGCTCCACAGGTTTCCAATGTTCTCATGTTTACTAGCTGATGTGCTAGCTTAATGTGGGCCCCATGCTTTAAAGACCACTTGATAAGATGTGGTCTATGTGGAACAGCTGTTGTGAGTACTGGAATAAAACCAAGTACATGTACTCAGGTACAGTACAAGTCCATGTGTTGATATTTGGTATTTCTACTTCTAACTGTTCTTCTCAAGTCACTTTATACATCAGGAGACACATTGGCTATTGTGATGTGATTTCTCACTATTTAAGTTTTTCAAATGAAACAATCAGTCCTTTATATATTGTACAGTAGCCTGCAGATTAAATGCAAAATAATTATATGTTGCAGTCTAATATAAAATACTTCCAAATGGCTCCATCTCAACCAACTGTAGCAGTGAAATACGGGCTTGATGCTTAAATCACCAGCAATAATAAAACATCAATAAAATGCATATGGCAAAACATGAGGAGTGACCATTTTACTGCAGTACTTTCACTGGTAATATTTCAAGCACTTGGTCAAAAATATACTTACTTACAAGTAATTCAGTGTGATATTATAGGACCTGAGTACTTCTACAGCTCGTGCTTATTGTGTACATGTATCTTCTGATGATGAAGATCGGTGCAGAGCGTTTTTATCAGGAAGAAACTTCAGCTAATGCGCTTTTCGTTTTTCTCTGCAGGTATCAAGTGCTGTGTGTGATACACGCTATAGCCGACCTTGGCGGTCAGATGAGATCAAACCTCATCAGATCAGCTGTTACAGAGGTTGATCCTTAACCACTTGTCAGTGCTGTGAGGATCACTGCGGATGAAGCACATTAACTGTAAGCCCGACAAGGAGGGAGAAAGTGGTCTGCAGAAAATTCAGAGTGTCACCTTAAAGCTACTGCTACTATAACATTACAAAGCTGGTAAAAGCCTTACGATCTGCCACGTGTGGCTCAATGAAATGTGTTAGTTTAGTTCTACTCGGTGTGATTGAGCCTGAATTCAGGTCCCAAAGAAAATCTCACCATCCAGAAATGTGGAGGATTAATACCAAACAAATTTAAAAGAGTCTTTGTCAATGATTTTTGTTGAAGCAAATGAAAATCTAAATTAAACTTGGACATTGACTGTTTGACATGGGGAAGAAACATCTGTGAATAATGAATGTGTTGAAGTGTTCACTCAGTTAGACTTTAAATGTAACCGGTTTACTATTACATTTTCTCACCACAGTTATGGTGACAAAGTTGGGACACTGCAACTTGCCATTTTGGAATGATTGACTTGTATTGGATTAAAATGAAAACCTCCATCGAGGGCCAACAGTTTCCTGATATTATATCAAAGTGCACCAAATTTCACACACTCAGATATCAGCTCAGTGGCTGAAGTAAAAATGCATCTGAACATGGGCAAATCCACTCATATTGACTCTAGTTGTGGTTATAGTTTCTCTACATGTTTATATGATGTTATTTTAGTGAAATATTTGTGATTTACTTCTTTTGTTGGGTAACTATATTATGTGAGGGTACTAATTTAAGTGGCACATAATACACAGACAAATAGCAATATTAGTTTAAATCAATTTTATTGGCTCATTTTGGCCAAACGATTGGTATTTTCTCTTAAAAAAACAATCTTACATCTGTTACACACATAGAATATAAATTACAAACAGGCAGCACCAGAAATATATATTGATTCTTCACAATAATTTAAATAAGAAAATGGGACCTCTGCAACAACAAACTCTCAAGTAACGACAAAACAGATAGTGTCACGACATATCAGGAACAGTTACAATTTCTGAAAAAGACATTTCTGTGAACACTATTTACAAAAACCATGCCTCTTATCTTAAAAGTAGTCAATATGACTTGACATCACCTAAATCTCCACAGAAAAGCTTAAGACAGTGAAGAAAATGCTTAATTTGAGGCAGGATGAACAAAATGTTGTGGTACAAAAAGCTGGAATGGTTTTCAGTGCCTCGTGTTCTGCTTTCTGACGTCTTAACCCACTCTCTGCATTGTAATCCTAGTTTACAGTGATTTTATAACTTAACATATTGCTTTCAAAACACTAATCTCATCATACTTATGAGGAAAATTATGCTTCGTTTGAAAGAAGTCACCATTTGGTCCGCACCATTGGGTTTACAAGGCTCACTTAACTGGCCTGCATTTCACTCCTACGTGAATCCTCTACAAAATAAGAGCAGAGCAGACACTGTTTACTAGCTTTGAAGCCACATTCAAACTCAACAACGGTCTACACAACTTTGTTGACAAGTCGCAACATGTTGGAGATGTTCTGTGGCTCACAGCAGAGCAGACAGGCCTAGACTCGCCTGGCTGCTCTCCTGACTTTGGGGCCCATGCCAACAGATGGAGTCAAATGCAATGGTTGAATGGTAGAACAGTCGAAATGCAATTTGTCTCTTTTTTTCCATTTGGGGCTTTAGGTGCAGGGAAGGAATCTGCTTGTCTCTCAGAGAAAAGAGCAATGGAAACTCATTTTGAGTGGGTTCTCTTTGCTTCTATTTTGAGGACCTTGGATCTGGTATGTTAAGTCTTCCTCACAGGGAGACAACCAGGGAAATGGAAACCTCTATCTCATCAACCAAGCACCAAGAAAGGAAAGAACAGTCCAAAATCTACTTCTTCCCTGTCTTGACCTTTTTCTCTTTGTCTTGTTCTACTCTTTATGACTTGTTCTCAATTGCAGCGGGGGCGATCATCATCGTGCTGGACTTCAGGGGATAGTAGCGGCCTCTCCAGGTCTTCCAAAAGATGCCCTGCTTCCTCTGGTGTCGCTGCTTGGGAGGAGGACTCTGGAAGTATCTACCGTTGAGGTTGGAGCGACCACAGTTACTGAACCACCAACCACCTGTAAAGACAAAAAAGAACATCAGGTTAGATGCTGCCTTTAAACTCAAACTAATAGAGGGGTTTTATCAGTGTGATTGTCATTTACAACTCACCAGAAAGGTGCTTGGCGCAGTTGAGGTCGTTTTTCTGGTCGTTGTCTCGGTCACTGGTGGAGAAGGGCAGGCCAGTGGAGGCGTCAGTCCCCAGGGAAGTCTCCAAGGTACTGAAAGTTCCGACTTCCTGAATCTGGAGCGAGTACTTTGTTTCCTCTCCACCCAGTTTGAAGGGCAGGCGGACGGATGCCAAGTCATCCCCCCAGTCAGAGAGCTTGATGTTGAGGATGTAGCCGCCATCTTTAGCAATGGTGTGGATCTTTTCAAGACCCAACCAGAACTCTCCTGGAGAAGATAAAGATAAGAAGAGAGAGTTAGAAAACTGTCCTCAGCTGAAGCACTGTCTCCTGCTTCTGTTTTTAAGTTGATCTGTGATAAGATGCTGATGTCGTGGCTCTAAACACTGTAATGCTGCGTGAACTAATCCGGCTCTGGCCAGGCCAGCAAGCACCTGGCTGGTTTAGGTAGGGAGAGTGAGGTCAAAGTGAAAAGAACATTTACCATTCAGGTTGCCAAAGCCGCTCTCATAGGCGTGCCATTGCTGGTCAAAATCCACTGAGCCGTCTTGGCGTCTTTGGATCACCGTCCATCCACCATCTAGTTAGAAATACAGAAAGAGGTTGATCAGAAAATGTCTTTTTGGTCAAAACAAACAGCTTCTTGTGCAACGTCTGGATCCTTAAAGTCTGAGCAGTCAGTGAATGTTGGCCACGCACTAAATCACAAAACGCCACGTACCGGCTGTCATCTCACAGAAGACTTTAAAGGACTCTGCGTTGATTGGCTTGATGGTGTAGACTCCGCTGGTGGTCTCTCCTCTTAGGAACAGCTCATGGCAGTCTGATGCCACCTCTGCAAGAGAAACACAGAGGGAAAAACACATTGTTAAGACAAATAGCTCCGTAGTATCACACCAAGAAGTCTAAACAGCATTATCACCTTTTCCCTGCACTGCTGGCCATGCTATTTATACATGACACATTGAACTCGTGTTTTTCTTCAGTTTCACTCCCCTGAACTCTGTACTGTTACTGTGGAACACAAAAAAAACTACTTGTTTTGTCAAACTGAGGCTATAAGTTTGCTGCAGGGTCTTTGCCAACTTTTGCATAAGACACAACAGGCTCTAGAAACATCACATTGTATCAGCTATTTGAGGTTTTATTCTGAAGTGTACTATGTTAAAGGGGCATTCAGAAATCCGAGCTTGTTTACTCTAACCAGCCTTAACAGCGTATGTAGGTCATTCATAGGGAACCTCTCAGCGACAGGTTTCTCTGCCGCTGTGAGAGCGAAAGTAAAATGAGACTATCGCTGCCTGTTAGCTTATCTGTGGGTCTGGAGATATAAACGTGCAGCCGATAGAGCCTTTGACCCAGCCTTAACAACAGAGATAGTAAGTGAGAACGGCTTTCTTGTTTATAAATATGACCCTTCTCCCAGTTACAAAGCAGATTTCCCTCATTTACAGCTGCTTGCTGCTCCAGTCTATTGAGTTGAACACTACTATGCTTTTGCACCCCTTTTATAGTCCAGCCCCCCCGCTTGCCTTGGCAGTCGGCACACCTCCCTCACGTGCGCCTCAGCCAGTTAGGGATGCAGGCATGCGTGGCTGCTGCATGCACAGCAAGTGATCAAGGGGGTGGTGGGGCGGAGGGGAGCTGTTGCTGTAAAGGGGAAATCGGAGGCAGCAGGAATACAAAGCAGGCGACTCCTACTGAAGCTGTCATTTGGGTCATGTGGCTCAAGACTAATAGCACCCCTCCAGTAATCCCTTTCTCATATCTCATATTTACAAAAGCAAAAAATCAAATGATTCAAATGATTTTTCTTCATTATTTGATTAATTTTCGCTGAGTTATTGTTTCCCAGCGTGTCTGTGTGATGAGCTCTCCTCTAGAGGTATGAACACTTGTGGCTGTAGCCTCGGGGGCTAGGGGCTCTCCTGAACTTTGGCACACTTCTTTTTTCCTTACAATAGGGAGAAGGAGGAGATGGGAGCTGGAGGTAAGGAGTTTGCATGAAGGGATGGGGGAGGAGAGGAGAGCAAAGGATGACTGAAATGGAGGAGGGGGATGTCTGGCTCCCTGACAGATCTAGGGGAAAGGTTGCTCATTCTTTAGGGATCTACAAATGTTTGTTTTGCACAAAGGGGTTGGATGTCTGTAAAGAGAGTGGGTGGAGGGGTCTTTAAAACAGTGACATATATCTGTACAAAGTTCACTGATAAATTTAGACCACCTTTCCTCAATCCCCGCTGTTTCCCCCTGATTTTCTTGGCTCAGGCACAAGGGCAGTAATCTGAGGAACATTGCATGCAAGATTTCTTCAAAGCCTTCCTTTGCTGTTTCCTGGCTTCCCTGTACTACCTCCTCCCCCCGACACCAAAGAAATGATCAGTGTGAGTAATCCCATTGAGCTGTGTGACCCTGGCTGAACACTACCAGAGACTTGTGAACTTTCCCCCAGTTGAAACCTCGCCAGAGAAACTTGTTTCTTTTTCCTCATTCCTCAAATCCTGCTGATGTCAGAGCTCTGAGGTGCTATTGTGATTGGCTGACTGAACTCAACTGTTGCCTCAGCCCTGTTCACCTTTCACCCAGTTCTCATCTTTGGTCCCCAGAAACAGATACACAAGTTCAATATCACTCTGATTCACTATTATAATGTACTTATTCATCCTCCTCATCGTGTGTGAAGACTGTGCCATCCTAAAGTGAGACCAAGAAACTGTGGCTGTGTCTCAGCTCTTGCACATTTGGTTTGCGTGCAGTCTGGATGAAAGCAGTCATTGTGACCGCTTGTCCAGTCACTGTTCACTTCAGATGGGAGCAGCAGCTGTTTGGCGTGGCTGCACGCCGAGGGCATCATTTACTGCCTCTAACAATTACTGTACACCCCAGTGAGAAGGGCACAGACAAAATAGAGACTTACTCTGTCAGTGTGTATGTACCATTTGAGCTTATCCACTGCTGTTTATTCCAATGGATGTTCTTTCTCTGTGGTAGTTGAAATTAGGCTATAAAGAATGTTACGTTTCGTTGGCCTAATTTATTTTGAAACAATTTATCTTCACTTACTTTACCAGTGTAATTGTGTTAATGTTATCCTGCATTAACTGAACAATGTAATTGGGATTTTAAGAGCTTAAAGACACAGACTTGGCCTATGTGCCATAAGTCCACCAGTTGATAGTAGCCTCTTACTGGCATCATGCTGAGCAGAGGAGCGTGTCCCAAATTGATTCAATTCCTTGATTCTAATTGCCAGTGATTTAAGCTTCTTTGGGGGCCTTATACTAAACAGATGGTCTGCTACATT